GAACGTGTAACAAAGACTATATTTTAGTTATAAGAATTTTGGTTGATAATGAGGTTTTCACTTTATAGTCTTATTTTATAAAGATGTAATCTAACGCCATCCATTAATAAAAAGAACAGAAATGTCAATGGTGTTTACGAATATTCAATCGATGTTAAACTTTTTCCGTTGATTTTTCATTCATTCTATCAAATAATGTTTAAACTTAGCCATTTATCTATTTGGTTTTAAAATAAATGAATTGAATATAAATTAAACAAAATGGATAAACTAAGTAAATCACTTGAAGTTTTAAGGTTACTTTCAACAACAAAATCAGAAACATTAATAATCAAGTAAAATTTGATTTTTCTGATTTTCATCTCTCCTTGAATGTTCTTCTCATTTAGAGGTAACAATGAAAATTATCTTAAATTAATTAAAGCTAGTGTGGAAACATTATTTCTAACATGTAATGAAAATGATTATGATGTACGAATGACTGCCGAAGAAAGTCTTAATAAATTTGTTAAAGTATTATAAAAGAAATTCTTTTTTTGTATAATTTTGTATGAATTATAGAATAGAATTTAAAAGAAGCAGATTCAACAAGAATTCAAGTTGAATTATATCGAATTATAAAACATAATCCTAATGTTGGACCAAATGCTTTAAAAGGTTATTTTGATTATTTGACTTAAATTTATAATAAATATTTTTTTTTTAATTTCGATTAGGTGTTCTGTGGTGATTTGCCGAATTAGCAAATGTAATACATCCGAAAAAGATTCAACCATTTTATCAGAATATTATGAACTTATTTTTCGTAGTCTTGGTCGACCGATTAATGATAAAGAAATTAAAGTAAGTAAAACAAAATTCTTTGTCATTTAAGACAAGTTTTTTAAAGAAGTAATCAGAAAAATGTCATACGGTTGAATAGAAACATAGAAAAGAATTGCTCTACCATGTTTCGGTTAAAATTTCTAGCATGAGAGGATGTTTTTCAGAAAATGTAGAATAGGCAGTCTGATACTATTTAACGAAATACGAACTGAGAAACTGTCTATCATTTGAAGCGATCCGTCCTCGAAAGTAATCGAGCGTAGTTTCATGCAACTTAAGAATGGTTTAGTCATAGGCGTACACTGGCTCTCGTTATAGTTAAAGAATGAAGTCGAGTGAGAACGAATTTTTCTTTTCCTAATATTAACAATAAATAATTTTCTTTTGAAATATATAATCAATGACTAAGTTATTCTTAGAAACTTCTCATGGCCTAGTCAGCAAATGTGTTATCCTATGGTTATAGCACGTTTTCTAATGGCAAATGGAATTGGTAAGTTTTCTTTCAAATAATAATTTCAATCCATTACAATTGTCTTTTATTTTAATAGATCAATTACTTGAACATCAAAATCAAAATGCTAGTACAGATTTAATAATTGATTATCTTGATTTAATAAAAAAGTTATTTAATTACTTCGTTATTCAAATTTATTTGATTTTGATCAATTATTAATTTCAATTCAAATTGGATCTATAGAAAAAACTTGTGTTAGTCAAACATTACAAACAGGTAAATATTGAGAAAAAAAAGGAATTTTTTTTATTTGTGTTTTTTTTTCTAAAACAATAGCTTATTCAACATATCAACGTTGATTTATTGAAATGAATGATGAACTCGATTCAACATCAATGATTAATAATGAAAAATGAATATCAGCTGCTAAAATTGTTAATCAATTATATTTTCTTTCCGATTAGATATATACTTAATATGGATGGTACGATAAAAAGTGATGATGAATCATGTATTAGTGTTAAATGTGCTATACCAATATGTCTATCGTATTTATAAAACAATTTGATCCATTTGTTTATCTTACTGAAAGTATGTTTAATTCTTGTTTGACTTTTTTTTGTAAAGTTTCACTTCAGTGAAATAGATCTATTTTATAATCCAAAATTATTTCTAATGTTGTAACAGTAGAAGGGCTTAGGTGAAGGGGATTGTGACAGAGTTTAGTTGACGTGGCTTCAATTGGTTAAGGTCTCAAAGTTTTAGTGAAAGTTATCTGATAGATATGACAATTTCACTATTAAATTGTTGAAACATATACATATATATTGGAATCTGAAAATTCAAGAATGGAGATTTCTCGATATTGATTCAGCAGCTCTAGTCCTATTTCTACTTTTAATTTTTTTGAAATCAACAATAGACTAGAACATTATCAGACTCGAAAAGATGTCAAGTAGAACATTTTATTGAAGCTCAAAGCCTGCATTTATACATCAGAGATTGAAATTATACAATCACATAACTACCTCAAAAAAAGTTCTAAGCCGAAGTTCGAGATATGAAAGCAATTGTATCCTCTAAGGAGTTTTTCTTTAGTCTTTGAAGATTTCTGATTAGATATAATTTTATAATTAAAATTGAATTCTCTAAAGGAAAAAATGAAATTCACATCTCTATATGACTTGTAATACATTAAAATTTATCGAACATCAAGGTATCTTTTTTTTAAGATATTACATACCTTTTATCTTTATGTGAATACGGTGATCTACATTTACGTGGTGCATGTGCAAATTTACTTATTACATTAATTCAAATAACAAATCATCTTTTAACACTATCATCATTATCAAATTCATTTAATAATTCTTTTATTAATCAATGTTCACTTATATCAACTGATTCACAAGACAGTTCAAGGTTATATGTCTTAATGATAATAATGCACGTGTTATACATGTTTCACTAAATGCTTTACGAATATTATTACCTTTTTTCTATTAATTAATAGTCATGCATTTACAATCATAGGAATTAAATTATTAGAAGATTCTATTCAACATACTACAAGTTCCTGTACTCTTGCTAAAGTAGATAAAAGAAATTTATGATTATAATAATTCTTTTTTTGTATGTATATAAAATAGTTTGCTCTAGCTCAACTTATGGATGATATTGATTTTCGAATATTAACTTATCTTGAACAACAATTAAAACAACAGTACCCTGATATACATGTTCGTCAAGCAATTGCTTCGACTTTTGCTAAGTATGCATTTTGTAGAGATATTAACTAGGTAGTTTTTTTTCGAATTTGAATGCATAAGTCGATTTTCTTGAATTAAGTTAGTTATTAGCTACTTTTTGATTTTAAGGTTTTGTTGATCACAATTCATTTTAACCATGTCAATGGATATATAAAATTCATCATTCATTACAAGCTCAAGCATCAACTCGAATAAAAATTGTTTGTTATTTTTGTCTTTTATATAGGTTGGATGTTTAAAAGATATTTATGTTCTTTCAAATGTTTTAAGATCAACAACAATTCGACCAATTTTTT